CAAGAGGTCATTAAAAAGACAGGAAAGAAAGAAAAGACCAAAATGGATGTCAGAAGAGACTCTGAAACTTGCTCTTGAACGTCAACTAGCTAAAGCAAAAGGAAGAAACGATGAAGTAAAAGAACTGAACAGAAGATTTCAAACGGCGGCTTGAGAAGACAAAGTAAAGTATTATAATGACATGTGCAAAGAGCTAGACATTGAAAACCAAAACGGAAGAACACGCTCAGCATTCCTCAAGCTGAAAGAACTTAAGAAAAAAATTCAAGCCTTGAGTTGCAACAGTGAAGGATTCTATGCGGAAAATATTAAACGATGCAGCCAGCATCAAAAGAAGATGGAAGGAATACACAGAGTCATTATACCAAGAAGAATTGGTCGACATTCAACCATTTCAAGAGGTAGCGTATGATCAGGAACCAATGGTACTGAAGGAAGAAGTCCAAGCTGTACTGAAGACATTGGTGAAAAACAAGCCTCTAGGAATTGACGGAGTATCAGAGTATCAACTGAGATGTTTCAACAAACGGATGCAGCACTGGAAGTGCTCACTGGTCTAGGCCAAGAAATCTGGAAGACAGCTACCTGGCCAACCAACTGGAAGAGATCCATATTTATGCCTATTCCCAAGAAAGGTGATCCAACCGAACGTGGAAATTATCAAACAATATCATTAATATCACATGCAAGTAAAATTTTGCAGAAGATCATTCAAAAGCAGCTGCAGCAGCATGTCGACAGGGAACTGCCAGAAATTCAGGCTGGATTCAGAAGAGGATGTGGAACCAGGGATATCACTGCTGATGTCAGATGGATCCTGGCTGAAAGCAGAGAATACCAGGAAGATGTTTATCTGTGTTTATAGACTATGAAAAGGCATTCGATTGTATGGATCATAAAAAATTATGGATAATACTGCAAAGAATGGGAATTCCAGAACTACTTAACTGTGCTCATGAGGAACCTGTACACAGATCAAGAGGCAGTTGTTCAGACAGAACAAGGGGATACTGCGTGGTTTATAGTCAGAAAAGGTGAAAGTCAGGATTGCATCCTTTCACATACCTATTCAATCTGTATGCTGAGCAAATAATCCGAGAAACTGGACTATACGAAGAAGAAAGGGGTATCAGGATTGGAGGAAGACTCATTAACAACCTGAGATATGGAGATGACACAACTTTGCTTGCTGAAAGTGAAGAGGACTTGAAGCACTTACTGATGAAGGTCAAAGACCACAGCCTTCAGTATGGATTACACCTCAACATAAAGAAAACACAAATTCTCACGACCGCACCAGTAAGCAACATCATGATAAGTGGAGAAAAGACTGAAGTTGTCAAGGATTTCATTTTGCATTTTGTCAAGGATTGCATTTTCAATGCAATCAGCACCCACTGCATTGGCCAAATCTGCTGCAAAAGACCTCTTTAAAGTGTTGAAAAGCAAAGATGTCACCCTGAAGACTAAGGTGTCCCTGACCCAACCCATGGTATTTTCAATCACATCATATGCATGCAGAAGCTGGACAATGAATAAGTAAGACTGAAGAAGAACTGATTCCTTTGAATTGTGGTGTTGGCGAAGAATACTGAATATACCATGGACTGCCAAAAGAACGAACATATTTGTCTTGGAAGAAGTACAACCAGAATGCTCCTTAGAAAGAAGGATGGCGAGACTACATCTTACATACTTTGGACATGTTGACAGGAGGGATCAGTCCCTGGAGAAGGACATCCTTGGAAAGTAGAGGATCAGCGAAAAAGAGAAAGACCCTCAAGGAGATGGACTGACACGGTGGCTGCAACAACGGGCTCAAGCGTAACAGTGATGTGGGCATAGCACGGGACCGGGCAGTGTTCTGTTCTGTGGTGCACAGGGTCGCTATGAGTTGGAACCAACTTGACGGCACCTAACAACAACAAGATCCCACAAGTTGGTGCACAGCTGAGATCTAAATCCCTATCTCCTTGTGACTAGACGATGATCTCTCCAGGACCAGGCAGGGGTGGAGGAAGCAAAGTTAGAGTGAACAGCACTACCACCAACAAGCGCCCTCTTAATCTGTACAGGGAGCACGGAATGGTCTCCCAGTACAGACAGTGGTTCTGTATTTGTTAAGCCTCACACTTTAGAGCAGAAATTCCATAAAGGTAGGGGCTGTCTTCTTTACATAAAGAATGGCACAAAACACTACGCATGCATTTATTAAACGCTTATCACAAAAGCACAAGTTCTTTGCCTTATTTTAGGGCTTCAGTGGAAAACCTAAAATACAAAAATTAAATTTAAGAGAAAAATTCTGCTTTCACTGCTTAAGCAGTGACAATCAATAGACACTCATAACCTCAACTGTTAAAATACAAGTTAGAGGTATAGAACCAGGAAAAGAAAGAACGGCAAGCCCAATTATTAGCATTAAACAGGTTAGACCATTTAAGAAGCACATTTCTACCCCTACGCAAATACGTAGGCAGGTTCATACACAAAACTGACATTTAATTGACAACCCTTTATTATTCAACTTAAGCAAGAGTCCAAAATCAATCAGTGTAGACAGGTGAAAAACTAGGCTAAAATAGCAAAAAGTGGTTACATTTAGCAAAGGCCCACACAATATGCAGAAAAGCTCACTGGGAAGTGAGCTTCCAGTCAATATCAAGGAAAGCAGGAGTTACCGCCCTCAATGAATGCCAGCTGCAGGCACCCTCACTGAGGAACGCCGTCAGCAACAGAGGAACCCCCACCTACTCTGCCATCTGATCTGTCAGCTCATTTATAAAAATTTATCATTAACCCTTCAATGAAAAAGTGAAATACTAGTTCTCTCTCATAAGCAATAAAAACCACAAAAATCAGCTGAGATTTTAAATTTAGGGTAAGCTAGTTCAATTGCCTGCTTTTAATGGGTAGGTATTTTAGATTTGACAATCCTCCACATATGGTCAGATAGGCTTATAAAAGAATTTCAAATATCAAATACAGAAGCTGTTAATTCATGCATTTTATGACTGGTTAATTCTTCAAATGTTTAGACTTCAGAGCTGCTAATGATACTAAATTCAATGCCTCGGTGGTTGAGTCTGTCAATCAACTTCGTTCTGGAGAAAGCTGCTCCAGGTGTGAAGACCCCGCCCCTGTAAAATAACAAGGTAAAACAGTACACAAGCCAGTCTCCAGCCCTTTCCTCTGCTAGTGTGATTGGCTGTAGGGATAGCTATCAAATCATTTCAGAACGCATGGAAACCCGACTCTTGATTCTACCACGGATTACTTTTGGTTCCATTCCTAAAATCAGCCAAATGAGCAAGTAGCTATTGTTCGGGAGAAAACCAGTGCCAGAGCCAAGGCCATCTAGACTGGTTCAGCTCCTGGTGAGATTGTTTTCCACCAATACATGAGTCAAAGGGACACAGAGCACCATCAACCAGAATAACTGCTGCTGCTGTTTATAAAAAGTCCTCATACTTCAGAGGATTAAATCAAGATCTGAATGAAATAAATTTAGGTAATCAACTATAATTAAGGCATAAACAAGACTTAAACTGGATGAAAAAGAAGTTTCTTTAAATCTAATAGCTAATATTTATAAAATGTTAAATACTTTCAAAGGGTACGTAAGTATTTGAAAATAATTTAATTATGTTTTACTACATACAATTTGTATTTTTATTACTTGATATTGTTTTAAGTAATGCTTAATTTATTTCTAAGCCTGCAGGCCTATGCTCATTTGTAAGGTTGGCCTAGCTTTCGGGTAACAGCTAAATGCTCCAACTAGATAATCATCTAGCTAGGATCCCATGATTCAACTCACTCTTGGGTGGCAGGGCTCCCACTGCCAGGTGAGTATCGTTCAGCACTGATTAGAGACTCCTGTTAATCTTGGCTGAACGCTACTTAACGATAAGGGTCTTTTATCAGTGGCTGATTCTGGACTTGAGCTATTTATATAAGGAACTGGAGCCGACTTACATGGCTTCCAAGCTTTTCTGTCTCCTCGTATTTACTCTGCAGTTGTTCCCAGAAGCTGCTAAGAAATGGTCTAGCTCATAATTTTAATTTACCTATATCTCTGCATCAAAGGAACTATAAATGCTTATGTGCAGACCCAAAGCCTGAAAATCAAATCAAAATAAGCCAAAACATAATACAGATAGAAAAATCTAATTAGAGTAGAAGAAAACCAACTTACGTCTTAGGAAGATCAGAGGTATCATTGAGAAGAGTCAAGGCTGCCTGAACCATGGCTATGGGGGTAGCCACATAGCCAGCCTCTGGAGAAAATGGATCAAAGAAAAAGAATATATTAATGAAGTATGCATTCAACAACACCCACAAATAGGTTTTATGGCTAATTCTAGGTATACAGAATAATTTTAATGTATCATTTAAAAAATAATTAACACTTATATAAAAACCAAAACCACACCTGTTGCCGTCAAGTTGATTCTGACTCATAGCAACCCTATAGGACAGAGTAGAACTGCCCCATAGACTTTCCAAGGAGACCTGGTGGATTCAAACTGCCGACCTTTCAGGTTAGCAGCCGTAGCACTTAACCACTGCGCCACCAGGATTTCTAACACTTAAATAACACTTATTAAGTGTTAGAAACTGTACTAAGAGCTTTAAATCTACTTAAAAAAGTTACTTAAATAATTTGTGCTTATGTTTCTAAAACAATTAAGCTTTAAAAAGAATATATTGTAATAGCATATGGCTCTGTAGCTTAAGACAATGTAAAACTCCCAAGCATTCTTGAATCAGATGCAAAATACCTGGTCCTTTCACCTGAGTACAAATTCTGATATTTGGTTTGTTCTTATCCGTAGCAAGGCCTTGGCTATATCCTTGACCAAAGAACGTCATTGTAAATGATGAGGCATCAATCTGTGAAAGAGAAAGCCAAGGACTCAGTAAATATATCATTTCTTCTCTGGACACAATAAAACCTGTTATTCCATACTTCATATGAGACACTTTCAATAGATAAAAACAACAATATTCTACCAGCCAAAATATTCTGTCATCCTTTAATCATAGGGCAAAAATTAACTCTTTGAAGATTAAGTTCTGATAACTGGTGTGATGTTGCGGGGGAAGAGAGTAGGTAAGGAATAGGAATGAGATCAAGATGATTCTTAGGTTGTGGCTTAAAGAATGACAGCATCATTAAAGCAGGGAGTTTAAGAGGAAAAGATGGAGATGGTTTTAATTTCTTGGGAAGGGGAGTAGAATATGGTAATCTGGTTTTAGACACTTTGTCTGAGGTGGTAAGACAAAAACAGCCATCAAGTAATGAGAATATAGACTGTGGCAAAGATATTGAATTGCTCCACTTACAGATGTAAAAATTTGATTCAAAAATTAAATCCTAGACAACTTATTGCAACATCTTTCACAATCATTAAATTTAGAAATAAGGTAACAAAGACAACTCAGTTCTGGTCAACCAATTTTTATTTAAGTATTAACTAAGCATCAAACATGAGGTATTGGTGGTTCAGTGGCAGAATCCTCGCATTCCATGAAGGAGGCATGGGTTCAATTCCTGGCCACTGTACCTCATGTGCAGCCACCACCTATCTGTGAGTGAAGGCCTGCATGTTGCTATGATGCTGAACAGCTTTCAGCGGAGCTTCCAGACTAAGACAAAGACAGAAGAAAGGCCTGGTGATTTACTTCTGAAAATCAGCCAGTGAAAACCCTGTGGATCACAATTGTCTGATCCACAACCGATCATGGGGATGGCACAGGACTGGGCAACAATTTGTTTCGTTTTGCATGGAGTCACCATGAGTTGGGGGAATTAACAATAAGTGTCAGATACAATGCTAAGTCCTGAGACACAAATAAAATATGGTCCCTGCCCTTTAGGAAGCTTACAGTTTAGTGGGGAAGAGAAATATATAAACAGGTCTAATAACAATATGACATATGAACTAAAAGAGAGGGCATTATTAAATCTACAGGGGGTAGGGGAGTAGAGTTTTGAAACGCGTATGTACACGCACACACATTTTAACAGAAGTTCACTACACAGAAAAGTAGGGTGGATACCAGAAAGGAAAAACCATTAGTTAAAAGCAAGAAGGGATGCAGTAGCATGGTGTATTACAATCACAGTTCACTATTGCTAAACTTTCATAGGTGTGGATGAGGTCAGACACACCAAGCAGCACTCCTCCCCTCCCCTGCCTGGACATTGCTAACTGATCATAAAACTCTTTCAGGCAAGGCACATATTCAGCTTTAGAACTATTTTCAACACAGTCACCAGGCTGCTATTACCAATTAACCAGGTTTGCATGAAAAATAAAACCTATCTGCTACCTAGGACTAGACAATGAAAGGCCTATGATGGCATCACACAGAGATGGACTTCAGGCCAGTAGTGCTCCAGGGGTGTGCACCAAAATTACCCAGGAAACATGCTGGGGGCACAGCATGCATACTGGTATTTACCAAACCTGATCTTGAACCATCCTATTAACATCAGCGATTCTCTATCTTGGGAGCTCATTAGAATCACTGGGGAACTTTAAAAAACCCCAACACGTAGGCCAAATTAAACCAGAATCTCTGGTCATCAGTTTTGGGTTCTCTCCCAAAGCTGAGAACCACTGCTCTACACTTTCTGATCCCACTTCACACCTACTGAATCAGAGTGTCCAGAAGCAGGGTTGGGGCATGTATTTTTGAAAAATATTCAGTGATTCTGATATATAAAACCCAAGCTGAGAATCACCGCCAAAGCAATGAATCAGGGAAGAGTTTTAAAGAAGACAATGAAAGTCAGATTCATGTTTAAGAGAGAGTAGTGGGAAGATGAATTGGAAAGGAACCAATAGGAAGGCTATGAAAAGTTGAGTCAAGAGACAGGGACCTGAACCAAGGCAGTTGTGATGAATGTAGACAAAAATCTAGAATGATGTTTAGGTTTCTGGGTGGGCAGATGATAATGGCATAAACTGAGATGGAAAATATATAAGGAAGAAGAGAGTTTTGGGGAACAAAATTCAGATTTTGATATGTTTAGTTCGAAATACCTGTGAGATATATATACATATAGGTCAAGACGTCTAGTTAAATAGGTAGGTATATAAATCTGGAGATATAAATGCGCCTATTAAGAATACTGTTGAGGTCACTTGGGGAGAGTGAGTGAGAAGTGGGCTGAAGATGGAGCCCTGGGGACAATGGATATTTAAGGAATAGAAAGAAGGTGAGGATATTGAATAGCAAAGGCAAAGAAGGAACACTGAGAGAGGAAATCTAGAAAAGCAATCACTTTAGAAGCCAAAAGGAGCAAGTATTTCAAGAAGGAGAACAATGTCAAAGATAACAGAGACTAAGTAAGGGCTAAAAAGCAGTTAATGCATTTAGCAATTACAAGGTCAACTATGACTTTAGCAAGGGGACAATGCAGGGTGAAGAAGGGTTGAAGGGCTCTTTTTTAGGTTGGGAAACAGAATGAGTAGAAAGAGCCTATAGAGGGGGGACAGGTGGAGTCTACAGCAGAGACAAGGAATCATCAGTGAGAAAGTCAGGAGGCAATCTAATCAAAAGTAATAATGGTTAAGAATCAAGCTAGTTTGAATCCAGGATTCACCACATCCTAGCTATGTGAACTTAGGCAAATAACATCATTTTTACTTACTTCCTCAATATAAAAAGTAGGTAACAATAGCACCTTCATCTCAATGGTTTTTGGAGGACTAAATGAGATAATTCACGCAAACACTTAGCCTAGTGCTTGCAACACAATAAATGCTTGATTTTTTGAAGAGCACAGCGGGGTAGGATCAGCTGTACAGGAGAATACTTCTTTGAGAGAGGAAAAAAGAAGGTGAAGATAGGAGCAATGACGATAGGTCTGAGGATAGGAATCGCATGGGGTACACAATAGATGTTCCCAATTGTTTTAGTGAAGTAGGAGCTGAGATGATTTGAAGAAAGGGAAGAAGAACTAGAGTTTGACAGATGTAGGGGAAAAAAAAAAAACACTGAAAAGGCGATGGAGAGACGACTAATGAAAAGTAAAAGGATCAGCAAGTGATGCTGCCAGTTCCACTGAGATGAGGAACATGAACTTGCAGTGGTACCATCTGTTCAGCAGTGCAATTCTCCCAGCAGTGGTGGTATACAAGAGATGAAGGCTCAATGACCCAAAGCCTGACTCGGGATTGGGATCTGTAAGCCACATGGCGGAAAATGAGGCAGCGATACTGTTGAGGATGGATACTGGAGAGATGGTAATTTATGTACCATGGGGCTCCAGGCTATCTGGAAGAGGAAGTCAAACTTGGGGTGGGGGGAAGGTAACAGAAAAGTGAAGAAGTAAAAATCTTTGAGATCTCTATGAAGTAGAGAGTATATGGTTTCTGGAGCCAGACAGCTGTGTTCTTATCTCTGCCACTCACTAGCTGGAGGACCCTAGGCAGTTTGCTTAGCCTCTCTATGCCCCATTTATAAAACAGAGATAATAATAGCTACCTCAAGGGGTGTTTGAGAAGATTACATTATCTACTTTATGTAAAGTGCTGAAAAGAGTTCCTGAAATGTAGTAAGTATTTCACCAAGTCTTAGCTGCTACTGTCACTACACTGAGTAAAAGTAAAAACAAAATAAAGAAAAATATTATTTTAAAGACCTGGATAACAAAGAAACAATTACCTGTTTTTGTGTTGGACCTTGCTTTGAAAAATAACCAAAGGAGAAGAGCCATGGGAACTAAAGAGAAAAACAAACAAAACCCTCAGTTAATTTTTTAAAAAACTTACAAACAATACTTCTAAAGATCTAATCTCATAAAATTTTACTTACTCTTATGAGAAGCTGCCTTCCAATGCCAAACCTCGCAAAGAATAAAAAGAAAAGTCCTGCAAACATCAGCTTAATAACAGAGGTGATGCCTCCCACCGTTACATAAGCAGCATATTGAACCTAAGTTAAAAAGATAAAGTTAGAACAATACTCTCTGCATTTTAGACCACATAACACAAGAATGTTAGCTACTTATTACTGACTCCTCTGTTGTACATAATATGGAACAAAATCAGTAGCCACTTTATAAATGCATTATGTTCTGAAAGCTTATTCAGAAACCCGGTATTGTTAGATGCTGTCGAGTCGGTTCCGACTCATAGTGGCCCTGTGTACAACAGAACGAAACACTGCCCAGTCCTGTGCTATCCTCACAATCGCTGCTACGTCTGAGCCCACTGTTGCTGCCACTGTGTCAATCCATCTCCTTGAGGGTCTTCCTCTTTTTCGCTGACCCTCTATTTTACCAAGCACGATGTCCCTCTCCAGGGACTAGTCCCTCCTGATAACATGTCTAAAGTATGTGAGACGAAGTCTCGCCATCCTTGCTTCCAAGGAGCACTCTGGCTGTACTTTCTCCAAGACAGATTTGTTCATTCTTCTGAACTCCATGGTATAAATTAATATTCTCAGCCAACACCATAATTCCAAGGCATCAATTCTTCTTTGGTCTTCTTTATTCATTGTCCAGTTTTCACATACGTATAATAAGGTGACTGAAAATATAATGGCTTGGGTCAAGTGCACCTTAGTCCTCAAAGTGACATCTTTGCTTTTTAACACTTTAAAGAGGTATTTTGCAGCAGATTTGCCCAGTGCAATGCGTCCTTTGATTTCCTGACTGATGCTTCCATGGGCGTTGATTGTATCCAAGTAAAATGAAATCCTTGACAACTTCAGTCTTTTCTCCGTTTATCATGATGTTGCTTACTGGTCCAGTTGTGAGGATTTTTGTTTTCTTTATGTTGAGGTGTAATCCATACTGAAGGCTGTGGTCTTTGACCCTCATCAGTAAGTGCTTCAAGTCTTCCTCACTTTCAGCAAGCAAAGTTGAGTCACCTGCATAATGCAGGTTGTTAATGAGTCTTCCTCCAATCCTGACACCCCTTTCTTCTTCATATAGTCCAGCTTCTCGGATTATTTGTTCAGCATACAGACTGAAAAAGTATGGTGAAACGATGCTACTCTGATATACACCTTTCTTGACTTTAAAACAAGCAGTATCCCCTTGCTCTGTTAGAATGACTGCCTCTTGGTCTAACTACAGGTTCTGCATGAGCACAATTAAGTGTTCTGTAATTCCCATTCTTCACAATGTTATCCATAATTTGTTATGATACACACAGTCGAATGCCTTTGCATAGTCAATAAAACACAGGTCAACATCTTTCTGGTATTGTCTGCTTTAGCCATGATCCATCCGACATCAGCAATGATATCCCTCGTTCCACATCCTCTTCTGGCTCTGGCTTGAATTTCTGGCAGTTTCCTGTTGTTACACTGTTGCAACAGCTTTTGAATGATCTTCAGCAAAATTTCACTTGTGTGTATATTAATGATATTGTTCGATAATTTCTACATTCTGTTGGATCACCTTTCTTTGGAATGCACAAATATGGATCTCTTCCAGTCGGCTGACCAGGTAGCTGTCTTCCAAATTTCTTGGCATAGATGAGTGAGTACCTCCACTGCTGTATCTGTTTGTTGAAACATCTCAATTGGTATTCCATCTATTCCTGGAGCCTTGTTTTTTGCCAATGCTTTCAGTGCAGCCTGGACCTCTTCCTTCAGTACCATCAGTTCTTGATCATATGCTACATCCTGAAATGGCTGAATATCAACTAGTTCTTTTTGGGACAGTGACTCTGTGTATTCCTTCCATCTTTTTTTGATGCTTTCTGCATCATTTAGTATTTTGCTTGTAGAATCCTTCACTATTCCAACTCAAGGCTTGAATTTTTTCTTCAGTTCTTTGAGCTTGAAAAATGCCGAGCGTGTTCTTCCCTTTTCGTTTTCTAACTCCAGGTCTTTGCACATTTCATTAGGTAACTTTGTCTTCTCAAGCCACCTTTTGAAATCTTCCGTTCAGCTCTTTTATGTCATTATTTCTTCCATTCACTTTAGCTACTGCGTTCAAGAGCAAGTTTCAGAGTCTCTTCTGACATCCATTTTGATCTTTGCTTTCTTTCCTGCCTTTTTAATGACCTTTTGCTTTCTTCATGTATGATGTCCTTGACATCTTTCCAACAACTCATCTGGTCTTTGGTCATTAGTGTTCAACGCATCAAATCTATTCTTGAGACGGTCTCTAAATTCAGGTGGGAAACACTCAAGGTTGTATTTTTGCTCTCATGGGCTTGTTTTAATTTTCTTCAGCTTCAAATTGAACTTGCATATGAACAACTGATGGTCTGTTTCGCAGTTGGCCCCTAGCCTTGCTCTGACAGATGATATTGGGCTTTTCTTTTTTTTATTGTTGCTATTAAATGAAGTTTACATTTTAAGTTAGTCTCCCATAAAGAATTTTTTTTTTTTCACATACATTGTTATGAGACCCCAACCGCTCACCCTATTTTGTGACAGCACATTCCTTCCCTCTGCCCCTGATTCCCATGAACATTCAACCAGCTCCTAACTCTCTCTGCCTTCCCATCTCACCTCTGGACAGAAGCTGCCCCTTTGGTCTCTTGTATCTACTTGACCAAGAGGCACATTCTTCACAAGTATCACTTTATGTCCCACAGGCCAGTCCAACCCCCGTCTGAAGAGCTGGCCTCGGAAATTGTTTTAGTTCTGGGGTGACAGAGAGACCAGGGGCCATGCCTTCCGGGGCGCCTCCAGTCTCAGTCAGACCATTAAGTCTGGTCTTCTTACTAGAATTTGAGTTCTACATCCCATCCTTCTACTGCTCCATCAGGGACCCTCTGTTGTGTTCCCTCACAGGACATTCATTGGTGGTAGCTGGGCACCATCTAGTTCTTCTGGTCTCAGGCTGATGAAGTCTCTGGTTTATGTGGCCTATTCTGTCTCTTGGGCTAATACTTTCCTTGTGTCTTTGGTGTTCTTCGTTCTCCTTTACTCCAAGTGGTTGGGACCAATTGATGCATCTTAGATGGC